AACTGCATTTTGATTTGCAAAAATTACGCTTGTGAAGTTACTATAATGTTATGTGCCGCATACAAAAAAAAATCGTATCGTTCACCTAAATGCCTCAACTATTTTCTTATTATAAATCGAACTTCAGATTTTTCTCTCAGTGTGACTAATATTTCGCTTCCATATCCCCCATTTTCTATTCATTGAAATTTCAAAATTACCTGTGAACGTGAAATAAATTTTTCTGTTCAACTTCTTTTTACTCGAAATCGTAAAATACACGGGGCAGGGATTCTCAGAGCTGCGACCACTTAAGAGTTAAAGATGCAAGCTAAAATATAAGTTCAATCGAATCCTAAAAAAATGAAGTCGAGAACTGTTGCGAAAACTCTCCATTATTTTATAATAACAGAAGTTCAGTGAACCGTATTGACATATAATTTTCTTAAATTTTTTTTTTAGCGTTATTTTACAGCGCTTCGACCCGGTTAGGGTATACTGCGATGATGATCAAGACTTTTTGTGATACCTGCCTCAAAAGTGCACTTTTCGAAACGGATTAGAGTGCGTAAAGCGGTTGTTTGTCGCACGGCGTGCGTAAAGTTCACGAACGTGCGTAAAGTGAATTCTCGTGCGTAAAGCGTCGCTCTGCGCACTCGAAATTCACTTTACGCACTCGTGCACAGAAACAACCACATTACCCCCACTACCGTTCCGAAAAGTGAACTCAGTAGGTACCACAAAAAATAGGATGTATACACGTGCGTGTGAAAAAGTGGAACTTTACGCATTAGTAACACAATATACTATTCTGGATGCACCTAATAAAATGAAAAATTCCCTTACATTGAGATAAATCACCCCCAACTCCTGTCTTCAACCACAACAATTGCAAGATCAGATACATCATAATCTCCTTCGTTCCTGATCCACCAATCCCATCGCCTATTTACCCAACACCATAACCTTCATCGTCTATTCCCATTGGTCCTCGAAACTAGTTCAACCTCCTCGTACTCCCCTCACCCAACCCAGCATAATCGAGTCCTTGTCCCCTCGTAACGTTTCGTGAAATTTGGTTTGACTTGTCTCACACAGGCCAAAGCCTCCCCACCCCTCAAATCCACCCAACTATACACATTTCCGTACACCTCATCTCGTCTTACCTCGGCAACGGCTAGGACATTGCTACACAGTATTGTCCTGCATAATATGTCCAACATGCCGTGCAGTGGTTACAATTTCAATCCGCCACTGATACCCACTCTCCCTTCAGAATAACATAACATCGTCCTGTTCTCGAGACAAAACTGCATTCACGAGTAAATAGAGTCTCCACATATACGTGCTATT